TGTAAATGTTTAATAACTAGGAAACTCAACATTATAGTAAAAACTACCTTTTTTGTAAAGTGATTGGTTTTCCCACTTTTAAATAATTACATCAATGTATGGCCTGTGAAAATTCCTCAATATTAGTAAATTACTTAATGTTAATAAATTATTATAACTTCACTTTGGTGAATTTTAAAGATGCTAGGTCATTGAGACTTATGTTTTTATCCAGCCTGACAGCCCTTGCTTTTTAATTGGATATCTAAACCATTTATATTTCATACAGTTATTAGTATGTTTTAGATTGAAATGTACTATCTTGCTGTTGGTTTTTATTTGAGTCATTTTTTCCACCTCTTTGACAATTGGAGGGATTTTTTTTTTATTGTGAAAGTACTGTACAGAGGGGTTACAATTACATGGGCAAGATAACGAGTGCATTTCTTATCAAGCATTGTAGCCTCTGGAGGGATTTTTTTTGTGGGTTAGGATTCTATCATTCCTTTACTGTGGGTTTGACATACACTTCTCTCTGTCTCGTAAGTGGTGATTCTAAAGCTTGAAGGAATTTATCCTACCCTATGTCAAATAAAGTGTCACATGTAAGATACTCAATTTACTTTTTTCCTACCCTATCTTTCAGTGTGGTTGTCTTACATTGTATTTTATACATACACTACATCCTATAATAAATTTTTATTTTTTCAACCAGTTATGTTTGCAAAAAAATTGTAAAATGAAAAACATTTAAACAAATACTTGACTACATAAATACTTTTTCAGCAGTCTTCATTCCTGGGTATAGCTCTAAGTTTTAAACCTGATGTCAGTTTCCACTTGAAAAGCATTATTTCCCATTCAGAGTTGCTGCCAGTACATGAATTTAGCATCTGTTCTGTGAAAATAAGACATTATTTCAGTCCTTACTTTTTTGAAAGATATTCTTGTTGGATAAAGAATCCATCAATTTATTTTTTTTTCTTTCAGCTCTTTTTTGCCACACTCATCCTTCTTTTAGGGATCCAACTACATATATGTTAGAATACTTTTAAGTATTCTTTTTTCTTTAAAATTCTGTTTTATGTAGAGTAGTTTTTATTGTTATGTTGAAGTTCATGAATCATATCATTTCTGATATGTGTACTATTAATCATATCCAATGAAGTATTCACCTCATATTCTGTTTTTCATCTGTAGCAGTACCAGTTCTTTTGTATGTATTGTTTTTCCTTTTTATTGACAGTTTTCTTTGAATGCTTTCATAAGTGATTTCCTAGTATTTGAATGCTATATAATACTTTTATTATTTTGCCATTCTTGGATCTACTTGGACCCAAACTTTGACTCATTTCTTCTGCTTTAAATTTTCCTATTGTCATTTTTGTTAGTTTTTGATTGGATGAGAATTTTTAAGTTTGTGAATATCTGAACTGTGGTCTTATTGAAAGAATTTGATCTAGCTCACCCACATTATTTACAGCTTAGTTTGATTCTTTTTTATCTTATTTTTGTTGTATTTCTAACTTTGCCGGTAGGTGCTGCGTGTGTGTGTGTGTGTGTGTGTGTGTGTGTGTGTGTGTGTGTGTGTGTGTGTGTGTACATATATGTATATATAAAAATAGCCTTTGCTCTGGGAATAGGTGTGTGTGTGTATATACATATATATGTATACATATGTGTGTAAGTATACATGTGTGTGTGTATATATATATATATATATATACATACATATATATATAGTAGCCTTTGCTGTGGGAATAGGTTGGCCCCATTACTAAAATATGGCTTTTGGAATGTTACCTTGGGTAAACATCTAGTACTTTCCACTCTGTCAAGTTGGAATTTAAGTATATTCCAGCTCTGTGTATGCACTGGGAAAAGATCATTTCATAGCTCTTTTTCATTCTTTGGCCTTGTGTAGTTTTTCCCACACACGTCTACACTGAAATATTCAGCTGAGCATTAAAGTTACCCCTATTCAAATGACTGGATTTATATTCCACATAGCTGCCTTTTGTTTACAAATGTGCTCTTCAACCACCTGGGTCGTCTTAAGTTCAGGTCTTTTCTAAACTCAATTTAAAGGACAACTTTGTGCTTGAAAGTCCCCTTCTTATCCTAGCAGATGCTGATCTGATATTAGGTATTATTTATTTGTTTCTTTCTCCAGCTACTATGATCTCCTGATCATAGTCTGATTCTGTTGTCTGGAAACTTAAATATTTTGTATAGTTTTTTGTTTCACTTGAGTTTGGGGTTGGGTTTAGTTTAGTTTAGTTTGGTTGTTTTGTTGTTCTTTTTGCTGTATACAGTAGGATGGTAAGTCTGGTTATTTCATCCTAGCCAGAAGTAGAATCTGTGGTCTTATTTTAATAATGAAATTGTCACATAATGCCAGCTATGTGACAGCTATGTCATAGAATATATATGTGTATGTATACATACACACACACACACACACACACACACACACATATGGTGAAGTTGCTGGGCATTCAGGGCTCATACCTGTAATTCTAGAGTCTCAGAAGGCTGAGATCTGAAGATTGCAGTTTAAAGACAGTTCCAGCAGGAAAATCCTTGAGAATCTTATCTCCAATTAAAGCCAGAAATAGAGTTATGGCTCAAATGGTAGATCACTACCTTTGAGCAAAAAAGCCCTGGGACAGTGCCCAGAACCAGAACACACACATACACAAGTGAAATTAAAGTCGCATAGAAGGAAGTGAAAAGAGAGAAGACTAATTACAAAGTAGAAACCACTGAACTGGAAGCCTTTAGTAATGTCTATCTCAAAGTGGATGAAGAAGCAGTGATTGTATTCTGAAAGTAGGTGTTGGATATACTTACTGGGGCTGTAGAACAGCTTGAGAGGGTAATTGAATTATGGAGTGATAGTGTGTTGGGGAGTACATAAAAATTATTGGAGTTAATAAAAATTGAGAACCTATTTATATGTTTGCCTTAGAGTTAGATTCATTTTCTTATTACAGAATATCCAAAATAATAAAAGCTATGTAAAACTAAAAATCACTCCCCTTACTTAAAAGCAAGTCTTCTATTGGCAGTATCTAGTACTGTTCGATCTCCATGAAGTTATCAGGGTCCCAAGTTCATTCTAGTTTCAAAACTGTCAGTCTGCACAATTGCCATTTCCAAAGTTGCATGTAGTCTAAGATAAATACTAGAGTGCATTTGTCTAGTATGTTTTATGTAACTAATAAGGAGGCCAAAAGGGAAAATGATCTTTCCCTTGCTGCCATGTAACCTTTTAAGAAGACTTTCCAGAAGTCTTTACTGGAGATTTCTGGGTTTTAATTGTATTTTAGTGTGAAGAATGCTAGGGAATATACTCCTTTTATTGTACATAAATGTCTCTAAACTTAGTGGGGAAGATAGGAAGAATAGCTGTGGAGAAGCAGTTGGCATTCTCTGCCACCTCAGTGATTATCAATGAAAGGAAAAGAGGGTTGCATGAACCTTAAGACCAGAGTATTAAGATGCTACAAGAATGTTGGAATGTAGAAGTGGAATGCAAAGAGAAAATGTAGCCAATTCTAAGATAAGACAGTTGTGAGAGGATTGAAAATAAAACAAAAGAATCATTACTCGAGATCACTGCACCTGGAAGTGATTTCTTCAAATGACATCAGGTTTAAGACAGGGAGGGGACCTGAGGAAATGGGGGAATACCGGGTGTACGGAGGAGATGGGGAGTATACTTATTATGGTAGTGTTCCCGAGAATTTGAGTACAAGGATGAGGGTAAGGTCTGGACTCGACTAGAACAAGAAGATACAGGTAGGTCATAGTTGAGAGGATGTAGTAAAACAGTAACTCCCAACCTTTCATAACCTATTCATGAGTTTAAAAAATACTAAACACAAATTGCCAGTAAAGGGTATATAGTATTTATAAGTTGCACATTATATCATTATAACTGAGAATAGTGGTGACTCTTAGGAAAAATATGAGTAGCCTGGCATACTGGTTTCTACTCTCTACTGAGAGCCTTCTTCTTCAAAATAAGAGTGAGGACAGAGATAGAATTAAATAGATGCCTGTATCATGAGTGCATTAATACATGTCAAAGGGGATTTTGTCAGAAAATCCTAAGAATAACATATACCAGGGACCAACTAACATATAACAGGACTTGGAAGTGCTGGTAAATAAAACCGTAGTACATTAGTAGACTAACGCTTCTACTTCAGGATTGACAATTGGGCTCTGTTATCTCATGGAAATATAATGTATGATAATGAATGACAAAAGTGACATATCAGTAGGGCAGAATAAGCTATTCTTTCACTCATGTATTTTACCCATTCACAATATGTTGAGGGCCAACTATTTTCTTGGAGGCCAGGGAACCGGCGTGGGGGACTTCTCATCGTTGCCAGGTTAATGTCTGCACACAAGGTTCAGCTCTTGGTTGAGAAGGAGACTGACTTGGAGACTTTTCTGCCAAGACTAACGTTGAATCATCTTCCAAATCTTAGCCTCACAACTAGCTAGGATTATAGTTTGAACCACTGTTACCCAGCTAAAGTTACAGTACTTTTCAAGGAGGTCTTTAGTTTTACTCAGATGTTTTTTTGTTAACCTTTTAAAGAGAAAGTATATTAAAAGAGATAGTGTACACAAAAATGACTAAATCAGTTCCTCTTATAAAGCAAAGTGTAAGTCTCATTTTCCACCATTCTACCCCATATTGTATATTTTATGGATATCACTTACTTGAAATATAGGAAGTACTCTTGTATGTATGATTGTTTCCTGAGTGTTTTTAAATTGGCTGTAGATTTCTTGACATCTTAGTCTTTTTTTTTCTTTTTTTTCTTTTTCCTTTTTTTTTTGTTTTTAAGATAAGGCCAAATGGAAGACCTTGCTTAATTTTATTTTAAATTTACTTATATTTTAAATGACTTAAGAAGAAAAAACACCTTAAACAGTCATATAGAAGGAAATTTGAAAGTATAATTGTTCAAATTAACTTAATTTTCTTTTTCTTATAGGTCGACTATATGCTATGCAAACTGGGATGAAGATTGACAGCAAAACTCCTGAATGTCGTAAATTTTTATCAAAACTCATGGACCAGTTAGAAGCTGTAAGTTAAACAGTCATCATTTATTAATCTGATTCTATCTTAAGTGCCACTCTATTTGCGGGGAGGCGGGGGTTGTATGTATTATCATTTTAGTTCTTCTGGTTAGCAGCACCAGGCAAAGTCATTTTTGATTGTTGGTTGTTAACACTATAATACCAGGGAGTTGTAGGTATAATGTAGGTTCAGATATCTTTGTATATGCAATATAACGTTTCCTACGTTATTATGGATGGAGTGTGTGTGTGTGTGTGTGTGTGTGTGTGTGTGTGTGTGTGTGTGTGTGTCTGTCTGTCTGTTACGGAGCTTGAACCCTAGGCCTAGGTACTGTCCCTCAGCTCTTCAGCTCAAGGCAAAGCGCTCCACTACTTGAGCCACAGCACCACTTCTGGTGGTGGTTTATTGGACATAAGAGTCTCACAGACTTTTCTGCCCGGGCTGGCTTTGAACTGCAATACTCAGATCCTCAGCCTTCTGAGTAGCTAGGATTACAGGTATGAGCCATGGCCGCCTGGCTTGTGGATGGATTTTGATTCATCATTTAGTAAGTGAGGAAGCCTTTCTAACCATATCTCAGGTAGTCTGTGTATATTTGATTTGGGGGTTCTTTAATAGCTGTTAAGATGATGAAGTGTGTGTGTGTAAGTGTGTAAAAGGAACTGTGAACAAAATGATACCAGTTCCTTATCTTCTTCCCTTTTTTTAGCACTAAGGGAACATACTATTATGGTCCAAGCATCCTCTCCTCCCAGTACCTGTTAAGTCACATTCATGAACATAATAAAATGTCACAGGACAATGTAGAGGTGATGGGAAAGTTGATTTAGTTGGGTTGAGTGTCAGTGCATAACAAGTACAGTGCCAGCTGTAGTAGTGTCCCCTAGCAATCAGATTTCCACCCTGTGACTTATGTCTAACTGTTCCTGGAGTTACTAGAGTCAATTATTACTCTGCCTCAGTGACTCTCCTCCAAGGCTGTTACATTAAAAGTGTAGCTTACTTTATATGTACTTATGCAGTTGTATGATATGCTCAAAAAAGTGAGAAATGTGTTTTTTCAATTACTGGATTTTGCTTAAAGAAATAAAATTTAATTATACTAAAATATTTATATTTACCAACCCAGAACTTTATTTTGTTTTTGTTTTGTTATTAGAAATGTACAATTCAATCAAATACTATTCCAACACAAAATTTCCCTGCCTAATTGTGTTAATGAACCATGAGTAATATTTTCTGTAAGTTTTTATAACCCTCTGGCTAGAGAGTTCCTGTCATCTACAGTTGCTGCCTATGCAGAGCGAATCTGGTGGCACCACTGAGAGAATTTGACTTCCCCTGGAGCTTTGGGGCCCTCTATTTTATTGATGCTACCCTCTATTTTATTAATGGACACAAGATAAATTTGAGTATGTTCAAATTTTTGAGAGGTGTTGGAATGAGAAGAATGTCTCACATGGTAATATATTAGTAAAATTCCAACTCGTGATGACCTTATATAGAATATATCTCTTTATTGATTTCATAGTACAATAATAGATAAGTTTTGGATAAGACTGAATTCAAATACTTCTTGACACAACATAAATTGCATTTATGATATGATTATGAGGAGTTTAAACTCTTCATTAAAAAAAAAACAAGTAGATAGTTTATTCCCAATGAGGACTCTTATGTCTACAAATTTATCTATATTGTAATTTAAAAACTTCAAATATAGCCAGGCATTGGTAGCTCACACCTCTAATGCTAGCTACTCAGGGGCTGAGATCTGAGGATCGTGGTTCAAAGCCAGCCCAGGCAGAAAAAGTTCTTGAGACTCTTATCTCCAATTAACTACCAGAAAAATGGGAAGTGGTACAGTGGCTCTAGTGATAGAGCTCTCCCCTTGAGCTGAAGAGCTGAGGGACAGCACCCAGGCCCAGAGTTCAAGTCCCCTGACCACAAAAGAAAAAACTTCAAATATATTATAATCTTGTTGCTAGATATTTTCTAATAAAGATAAAATTAACGAGTATGGGTCCACTAAATTTTTTTGGAATTAAATATGTTACAAATCATTTTGCAATTTGAAAACTTTAAATTAGTCATATAAAAAGTTGGGTTGCCGGATAAGTCAAACTTTTGTAAATCTCATCATTAAATCTCTTGTGAATTTTAAATTGCTCTGTTTTATTTTGAAAGAGGCCAGGTATGGTGAAACATTCCTGTAATCCCAGCTACACAGAAGGCAGAGTTGGTGGGAGTACAGTGCTAGCCCAGGCACAAAGTAAGACAAATATTATAGTATGCCTGTGATCACACCTATACAGGAGGCTATGAAAGAGGATTGTGGTCTACAGCTGGCCCTGGGTAAAAAACCCACACAACTATAACAAGTTGGGTGCCAGTGGCTGAAGCTTATAATCCTAGCTATTTAGGAGGATGAAACAAGGAGGAGGATGCTTCAAAGCCAGCCTAGGCAAAAAAAAAGTGAGATTCCCATCTCCAGATAAGCTGAAGAATGCTGGACTGGAGGTCCACACTGGAGATGCAGTTCAACTAGAAGAGCCCCCTCCTTGAGCGAAAAAGCAGAGCAAGAGCAGGAGGCCCCGAGGTCAAGCCCCAGCACCTGAACACACAAAAATTCATAGCTATAACAAAAGGACTAGGGGCATGACTTGAGTAGAGTACCTGCCCAGCAAGTATGAGGCCCTTGCTCAAACCCCAGGGCCATCAAAAAAGAAAAAAGAGTAAAGATTTCACCAGTAAATCTTTGTTGAAATGAATGTACTTACTTAAACAATTTACTAAAATAATTATTAGAATTATTTGTACTTGACACTTTTCTGAGAATCAAATGATACGCCATGCATCTGATTTTATTTTAGCTTAAGAAACAGTTGGGTGATAATGAAGCTATAACTCAAGAAATAGTTGGTTGTGCCCATTTGGAGAATTACGCTTTGAAAATGTTTTTGTATGCAGACAATGAAGATCGGGCTGGGCGATTTCACAAGTAAGTAAACAGGGAAATAAAAGTTATTTTATAAAGTGGGTTTCTGTGTGACTAGAATTATCTGGTTTTTAGCTAAGTACTTTCTGACTACCTCAATAATATAATTTTTTTTAAATTTTAGACATGATTCTGAGTTACAAATGTGGGACTTTCTTGTCAAAGAAAATAGGTGAAGGCAGGTTTATTTTCTCAAGATATTTACCCTAATTAGCCATTCTTTAACGTTTAGTGAACTCTAAGGACTGAATTCAATAGCGATCACAGCCTAGCCTGATGATACTGATTTAAAAAATACTCCAGCCAGTTCAAAGGTGTCATTGTAATAATACTTAAATGCAAAGTAATGCATTTTGGATTGTTAAGGATTCACATATTCTATTTATTTTCAATCTAATCTATATGATAAAACTTTAATGTCTTGTAATATGAATGTTGTCACTTCTAATAACATTACGAAGCCCTCTTGAAGTCAAGAGGGCTTTGATAAACAGAAACATTATTTTCTTACAACTACATTATTAGTACTACATTTTCATGTTTTTTATTTAAATTAGACCAGCTTTCTTTTGTCTTCCAGAAACATGATCAAGTCCTTCTACACTGCAAGCCTTTTAATAGATGTCATTACCGTATTTGGAGAACTCACTGAGGAAGTGAGTGTACATCCTTTACTATCTTAATAGGGGAAGATGATAATGTTGTTTATATTAATAAAAGTATCACTTTTATTATTTGATTTAGAGTAGCATATTCGTCAGAAATGTAATGTAAGCAAAAATATGGAATATTTAGAAAGCAAACACAATACATTTTATTTTTGTAGCACATTCTTTAATTCTAGTGAGATTTTTTTTGTCTTCATATGTATGGCTATTATATTAAACTGCATCAGTTTAGAGTTTGATTTTTGTTATTGCTTATGTTTTAACCATGTATGTTAAGTTTCTATACTATTAGTTGCAAAGATTTTATGACCATTTCATTTCTAGCCAGAAGGATTATTGTTTATAATTTCTGTTAAAAAGTGATATGATATATTAAAGATATTTCATATTCATTTTATCAGTTCCATTCTCAAAATCACTCTTGAGAAGCAGAGTATATACTCATATTACTTTGAATTCTTGGGACTACAACTGGCTTTTCATTTGTCATGGGACTTTTGCTTTCAAAGGGGAAAATTCAGTCTAGAGAAGTACTGTATAGAGAAGAAAAGGCCACATATGAGGTAGAGGTGTGTAGTGCTGGTGATCTGAATGTTAAGAGAAATTTTTTTTTTGTTTGTTTTTTAATTGTGAGAATACCATACAGAGGAGTTACAATTACATGGGCAAGATAACGAGTACATTTCTTATCAAGCACTGTTGCTTCCTCTTTGTTTCCCCTTCCCAACTCTTCCCATATTCCCCCAACCTCCCCCCACTCGATCCTCCCCCCCCAAGTAAAGTTCGTTTTTCAACATAACGACTTGTTTTACATCTCATTGTTGCAATGGGTCCACCTGTATCCCTAAATGATTAGTTTTTGCCCTTCCCCTCCACAAATTATACCAACATCAAATACAGTGAAAGCAGGGGTTATACCATGGGGGAGGGACATACAAAGCAACATAGAAATCATCTTATAAAAGATATATGTATATATATATATATTTTTTTTTTTTTTTTTCAAAAAATGACCAGCTTTTGGTAGAGTGCAAAGACAACATAAAATCTATGAGTCAGGTATTTCTACTTGGTTAAAAGAGGTAATTTCAGTACTGCAAAAAGTCCTGGCAAGGTAAACAGTGGCATCAACTCTCTCAGTATAATATGAAGACTTAAATTCACTACTGATTTAAACTTTATGCCTAAAATAAGACACAAACATCTGTATTAATGTCCTTATTTCAAAGATATCAAAAAGCTTAGTTGGTATTTCAAATATTTCTGCAGTCAGATTTTCTTATTTTTTAATCTGTAGATGGAAAAACATTTAGACTTGTTTGCACAGAACTTCTTTCATAACTCTTATAAAAAATACTAGATCTCATTTAGTCCCTGGATTTTTCTTGGTCTAATTCCTGATACTTCTTTCCCTTTTAGTTTCATGTCATTACTCATACTTGTACAAAACTAAATAAAGTAGATGTTTTCTTTAGTGTTCAACTAGGTTTTGGGTTTTTTTTTAAGTTTTAAAAATATCTTTTATTTGATGCTATTATATTTCTCAATTTTCTTATCTTCTAGATATACATATTTAATTAACTATTTGCGTAATTTCTTCTCAATATTCTAATTATGTCTTTTATATAAACTAGTATTCCTGAAGGTTTCTTAGAGCAAGTGTCTCAGTTTTGGGAATATAGTTACCACTCTGTGTGTGTGTGTGTGCATGTGTGTTGTAAATTTTATATTTTAAAGCAAAGAATGCTATATATGTATATATATTTTTTATTTTCCTAATATATTGTCAATTCTGAGACAAATTCAATATTTTTGTTGTATTTTGATATAGTATGTTGCATTGTATTTTTTTTGAAAATGAATATTGCATTTTAGATGTATTCCACTATTAGTAATATTTGAAGAACACATTAACATACTTTATTTTTCCTTTAAAATCTTTAGCTAAGGATTAAAAACTGCTATGTAGGAAGAATATAAAATTTGTAAGTAAAATAATGCTGTATTTACTGTTTCTTACTAATTTGGGGGGAATCAAATGTATACGTTTTTCTACCTTTACACAGCTTGTGTTTCACCTTCAAGGTGTTAGTGACGAAGTACAGGGAAGGGACCCACTATCATTACCCAGCACTGCTCACAAACATCTTAGAAATTCCATGTTTTAACTAGCACTGAGCCTCAGACATTTTAGAAATTCCATGTTTTACTTTGAACAACTCTGAATTATGTAAGAAAACTGATGGTCTTAAAAATGTAAGTACCTTGTTTGGTGTGTTATAGATGAGAATCACTTTTCCAACCTCTTGTGATGAGAATTCAGCCATTTCATTTATTTAACTTCCCCTACGTGGATAGTTGTTACAAATATAAACAGTAAATTATTAGAACAATGAAACTTTTGAAAGATATGTGTAATAACCTAATTTGCTCGGTGTTTTCCAAAGATTCTGAATCTCGATACTGCATACAGCTTGAAGATCTCTTGGTCAAAGTACTTAAAAGCAAAAATGTTCAAATTTCCAAGTTTTTAGGTTTTGAAATATCTGTGTAGACTTTACTTTTTTTAATATATATTTTTATTGTAAAGATACTGTACAGAGGGGTTACAGTTACATGAGTAAGGTAATGAATACATTTCCTATTGAGCATTGTTACCCCCTCCTTTAGTTTTTCCCCCTACCATCCCTTTCCTTCCCACCTCCCCATCTCCTACATAACCCCAATCCCCCGCAAAGTTGTAAAATTTGTTTTCAACAGTGTCTTGTACATCTCATTGTTACAATAGTTCATCTTGTATCCTTATTTCCCTTCCCTTCCCCAAATTAGAAAAATTTATATACAAGTTGCAGGACACCGGAATCAAATACTGTGACAATAGGGGTTGTACCATGGGGAAGAACATACAGAGAAACAAAAAAAAAAAAAAAATCACGTAGTACATTATAAGTACACAAAAAGAATAACAAGAAAGATGAAATCTCTTGTGTACCTATCTTGGGGTTCATTTCGCTTAGCATCAGGTTATATGGTCATATGTACATAGCTTTTGACCTTTTCTGTTTGCCCAAGGCATATACTAGTTATTGCAGATAAAGGGAACCATGGGACCTACGTAGATGAATGGATCAAGAAAATGTGGTAATACACACACAAACACACACACTGGAATTCTATGCCTCCATCAGAAAGAATGACACCTCCCCATTTATTAGGAAATGAAAAGACTTGGGAAAAAATTATATTAAGTGAAGTAAGCCAGACTCAAAAGTTAGCTAGACTTTACTTTTATTACATGATCATCCAGACTCTAAAATGCTCTGCAATCCCAACTGATTACAGATTGTAACCAAGTTCTGCAACATAGCTCTAATATATAATAATGAATGAGCCATATTTTAGTCATATTCTAGTGTACTGGTCAATGAGAATATAGAAAATGTGTGGAAGTTTTTATGGAACTCTACTAGTTGATCTTACACATTTATTTTATATTTAAATGAACATATTCAGAAACACATTATTATTATGGCATGTAATATTATCATTACTCTATGTAAACACCTGATATGCATTTAGATTTCCAAAAAGACAGGAGAAAGAAAATAAAGAAAAAAGATACCTGAAGAAATATTACAAATTTTCTAAATAGAGTAAAAAGGCCGTTATAGACCCAACAATCTCAATGGACCATCTCCTTGTAAAGAAAACAATTCTGAATAATTGGAAAGAAACTGTCAACTAATAACTCTACCTGAAATTGTGTTACAGTCAAAATGTCAAAAACATTTTTACGCAGATTAATTCACTGATAGCAGATCTACACTGTAGATCCAAATGTCAGTTAAAAGTAGCATTTTAAATGATAAAGAAAGATGGTGTCAAATAGAAGTTTTAATTTACAGGAAGGAATGAACTCTGAGTTAGTAATGTTAGTAGTGTAAAAGACTTTGTTTTATTCATTTATTTTTATCATTGTAACTATGCACTGGCAAGAAAAGGAATAAAAATAATACAAAACAAATGTCAGACTTTAGACCTAAATGCTACTCTGTGAACCTATATATTAAATGTAAATGGACCAAATGCTATAGTTTAAAAAGTAATGATTTTGCAAACTAGATGTAAAAAAATCAATCCTTGAAGATATAGTGTTTACAAAAGACATTCTTTAAATACAAAGACAGTTGTTTTGAAGATGAAAATATGGCCATACAATTAAAATAATAAATCCCTACTGAGAGTTGATATTAATATTAGGTGAAGTAAACTTTTACTAGAAATGAATAGGACATTTCATATTAGTATAGAGGTCAGTTTCAGCAAGAAGACTTTGCAATTAAAAATATGCATCTAATAACAAAAAACAAAATTCCTGAACAGAAATGCAGGAAAAATTGTAATTATACTTGAGGATTTTAATGCTCCCTTTGGTCATTGACAGAATAAGTAGTTTTTAAAATGAATAAAATTATAACTGACCATTCAGATGTTGTCTAGAATTCAGGAAAACAAGACCTTTCATACATTGCTTGGTTGGAAATGTTAGACATTATAACTACTTTGGGAAAAGATTTGGCAGATTTTTATGAAGTCAAACATACTCCTACACTTTTACCCAGCAATTCCTATTCTGGAATTTATCCAAGAGAAATGAAAACATATGTCCATAAAAAAGGCTTGTGCAGTAGTGTTCATAGGAAATTTACTCATAATAGCCCAAACCTGGAAACAACCTAAATGTCTACCATCAAGGGAGCTGATACACATATGGAGGTGTTGCTAGTGACTGCTGGGGGAGACTGTGACATGATGGTTCTTGAATCACAGAATACAATCTGTATGATTTCCTAAAAATGACTAAATTTATTTTAGTAAAAACATAGAAAATAGTTTTAATTTCTTGTGGCAAGGGAAATTGATCTGAACATCCCTGGAAATATAGACGCTTTCTTAGTAGCAAGAAATATATATCAGTAAAAGTGATT